TGTGTCCCTCCTCTGGACACTCTCCAGCAGCTTTAGATCCTTTTTCTCCTGTGGTGCCCAAACTGCCCCCAGCACTGGAGGTGAGGCCACACCAACATCAGTCCTGCAGGGACGGGGCAGAGGGAAACGGGTGCTGCACAGCGGCACAGACCGAGCTGGGACAGCCACTGAAGTCCCACCAGCACATGGGGTTTCAGTTAGGAATCGGGTGGCAGTGGGACATCACAGAGTCTGGTTTTACCATAAAAGCATTTCCACTCTGAAAGGTGAAGGTTTGAACACGACGCCACACACCGCTGTGAGGAATAAAGCCCACGGAGATGACAATCAGCTCGGTCAGGAACAGAAAAGATCTGTGCAGGGTGCTCAACGTCCCAGCTTCCTTCTCAAACACATCTTGTCTTATTTCCACCACCCAGCCTGGTCACCTGTGGCCACAGTGAAGGCAGGAGCTGTGGTGAGGCGCTGCTGCCTGGGGTGCTTCTACATTCAGATGTCAATGGTGGGTCACCAAAGCCACCGCATCCTTCTGAGATAAGGTTCAGCTGATGAAGGGTTCCCGTAAGTGACTCGAGCACACAGAAGACACTGCAGAAGTTAAAAATAACAAGCATTAAAAAAACCAACCCCAAACCTTTGTCAGCGTGGCCTCAAGTGGCCGCTGGAGGTTGATACAGATGCTTCAAGGTCCAACAGCGCTCTCAAATCATTAGTTTTTGGGATTTGTAAGGACACAAAGTCTTGGGACAGACATACTAGATGTAGTCACACAAACAAGGCAGCACCTCCCTGATGCTCCATGGTGTCATTGGTGGCTGCTGTGCTGGCCTGTGACACAGCAGAGCCAGGTGGGTCAGCCCCTGGAGCTCCAGGGGTGCTCAGCAGTCCCAGCTCCACGGCTCTATCCCCACCATCATGTATTGATGTTTTAAACTCTTGCGTGCCCAGAAGCTTCCTGCTTGCCAAGTCCTCCAGGTGATGGGACACTAGCAGGGCTACAGCTGTTCAAGACCACTGCTCCACCTGCTCTAGAAGGACCACACACCACCACCCAAGGGGAGCCAGGACTGAAACAACTGGCTCTGTGGTTTGTCCCTCTTGTTGCTCAGACTCCCAGCACATCATTTCCTCTTTACACCACTGACCTGACATACCTGGGCTTCCAGAAAGATCTGCTGCTGTTGTTTCAGCAACCAAAACCAGTTATTTTCCAGCCTGTCATCAAGGACATGGCATGGTTAAGGCCACCATCCATACAGCTGGCTAAAGGCATCTTTGTTTTTTTCCTCATGGAAGAGCAAACACCACACTTCTCACGAGCTGACGGCAAGCTCACCGTGTAAGCCATCTGCAGCAGATGGTGTCTAGACGTTCAACATCACCAGATGTTCCAGCTCTACCTGGAAGTTCACTTCTGCTCTTCAGCTCTGGGGCCAGGGGCACTGGAAGCACAGAAGGGTAATTAGTGCTGATACTTGGACACAAACACAGAGCTGAGCCCTCTTTGCGTTTCACTCCGACACACAAATCCTGATGTTCACCAGAGCTTGAGCCAACTGTGCTGCTGCTTCAAAACTGGGGTTTTATCGCTGCCCTGGACTCGCCAAACACTTGTATCCAGGGCAAAAAACCACCTCAATTTCCACAGCAACTAATCATTTTTCCTGAAAGTAACCAACATGTGAAATACAGTTACAGGAGATCAACAAACCACACCCAGGTACCCAAGAAACTGAGGAAGACATTTGTATTTTCCTTCTTCTGAAAAAAAATACATCCACCTTCTGCACTTCTAGAGAACAGGTGCACATCAGGGCCAGCAGGATGCTGGGTGGCCGCTTACGAGAAGGAACCAGTTCCAGTGAAGCTTTTGCTCAACCACAGAGTTTTTGGTTCTTTTTCTTTCCCCTTTTTGAGGTCTGCAGAACCTGTGGCCAGAGAGCAGCACTTGCTCCTGCAGTGGCACAGGCCACCAGAGCCTTTCCCTTGTCAACCAGCTCGTTTGGCCCCAGGGCTTTGCCCCCTGCCATGCTCTGGGTGAACAAACCCAACCAGGTCACCTCCAGCCAGAGCAGCTACCCTGTGAGAAGCATTTTGGGAGAGCAAAGGTCTTTTGATGCTTCATGAGCAGCCTCCATCCCCAAAGGGAACACAGGTCAGGAGCTGAAGCTCCCTAGGGACAGCAAACACCTCACACCTTTAGGCTGAAGATTTTGTTACTACCCAAGAGAATCAAATCCAATTCCTCCTCCCCCATATCATCTCTTGGTGTGTTCAGCCTGGAGGAGACTGAGAGGAGATCTCCTGGGGGTCTAGAACTTCCTCCCAAGGGGAAGAGGAGGGGCAGGTGCTGATCTCTTCTCTCTGGCCACCAACGAATGCCAGGAGCAGAGGACATGGCAGGAAGATGTGGCAGGGGAGGGTGAGGTTGGCCATGAGGAAAAGGTTCTTGAGGCAGAGGGTGGTGGAGCCCTGGAACAGGCTCCCCAGGGAGGAGCTGATGGCACCAAGCCTGACAAGATTCCAGCAGCATTTGCCCAAGGCCCTCAGGGACATGGTGTGAATGTTGGGCTTGTCCTGTGCAGGGACAGGAGTTGGACTCCAGCATCCTGGTGGGTCCCTCCCAGCTCACAGCACTTGATGGTTCTGGGATTGTCCTTTACCTGCAACTCCACCCACCATTGTCCTGCACCAGGTCACAGCTTCGGGCTCTGCAGTGGCACTGGGTACGGTTCCAGCAGCTGGACACCAAGAAATCCCCCCAGAACACTCGTGAGTTTCCAGCAGCAAACTGCTCTGTTTTCACTGCAGCACACCTGACAGGTTAAAGCCAGAGGAGCTCCCACAAGCCAGGGCACTGTGACCCTTCATTGGGACCTTTCCCCCAACACCAGCAGCACAGCAGACACCAGGGGACAGCTCTGCAGGCTGATGTGCTCCAGGGAGCTCAGCTAAAAGCTGCATCAGCACTGCACCTGCGATAGGATCCTTCCTTCTACTGCCATCATCCCACCACCAGTAGTGAAAGAAAGAAGGGAAATAAAAACCCCCAAACTTCATCCCTGTGGGCATGTTCCTCATCCTGCTTTGCACTTCCAGCACAACCAGGTCAGAGGAGAACAGCAGATGAGAGCAACTCATGGGATCCTGCAATGGGCAGGAGAGAAATGTCCATCTCCCCAGGGCAGCTGACAGCAAAGCTGGACTCCAGGAGCCCATGGTGGCTTGTGGGGTGCAGCTCTGTCACGGCTGTCCCCACCATCAGCTGCTCATCCCACTCAACTTCAGAGTGGTCCACACTCATCTTGGGTGCTGCAGAGTGGACCTGCAGAAGGACACCAACTTCTAAAGCTTCCCGAGTCCCTCGTGTGCAACAGAAGCACGTCACCATCCCACACGTCCTGTTAACCTGCAAGGGTCAAAGCGATGCCATTAAGAAAACAAAGTTCAGCTTCAAGACATTGGCCATCCAACAGGCAGTAAAAAAAAGCTTTATATTTTATTTCTTGTAAAAATCTTTTAACACATGCAGACTAAAACCAGTGTAAGAAAGTCTCCACCATCGTTTAAACAAATAACTATACTTAAATAGAAGTGTCTGCAATTGACTTGTATAAAAATAAGGTATGTTTTTGCTTTTTTTACAGAAATCCATTCTCCAGTTCTCATATCAATAAACAATACACAACTCTAATACATAGAATTTAACCCAATTGTTGGTTTTTTCCATCAATTCCATACTGCTAAGGTATTATGTGCAAAAGTGGGGAACAGTTTCTTTCCCAAAAGAAGAAAAAGAAAAAAAAAAAAATATTCTACATGTTTTAGAAAATGAGATATTGGGTTTAAATTAATCAAATCCTCGTCGGTTCCTTTTGTTCTCCAAGAAGAGAGTCTTTTGAATGGATGATCTAGAGGAGCCAGAGCTCAGCGCCGGTGCCGGCCGTGCCCCGAGCGACCGCTGCCGTGGTGTTTGCCTTTGTGCGACCTCTCGAAGGAGCGGGACCGCTCGCGCCGGTCTCGGTGGTGGCCCCGCTCGTGCCGGTGCTTCTTGGCAGCCTCGGAATGATCCCTGGATTTGCTCTGGGAACGGGAGCGGGATTTTTTCCTTTTGTGACCGTGTCTATTGGTGCTCTTCAGCTCCTCCCGGCTGTGCTTGGCCTTCAGGTGCGGGGAGCCGTGGTTGTGGTGTCGGCGAGGGCTGCCGCTGTGGCTGCGGGACCTGCTCCGCGACCTCGAGCTGTACGTCCCGGACAGGCTCCGCCTGTTATTGTAACTTACAGAGAAGTGTTGAAAAGTTAAAACATTTCTTCAAAATAAATGGATGCTTAGGAGCTGCCAAGTTACTGGGAGAAACCAGAGATGATTCGTCCCGCAGAGATCACTGATGAATGACAGCAACCATCCCAGAACACCCTCTGAAATCATGGCATGGTTTGAGTTGGAAGGGACCTTAAAGCTCATCCAGTCCCAACCCCCCTGCCAGCAGCAGGGACACCTTCCACTAGACCAGGTTGCTCAAAGCCTCATCCAACCTGGCCTTGAACACTTCCAGGGAGGGGACATGGAGTTCCTTCAAAAACACAGAGCTCAAACCAAAGCCAAACCCAGAACGCGTGGGGCGTTTTCTAACTGTTTGACCTTGTCAAGAACCTTCCCCTCAACACCAGATGCAAGTTGGTTATTGCCTTTTTTCCTTCAGTGATCTGACAGTCAACAATACTTAGGGGAACGCTTCACTGAGATCCAAGCTGGCAGTTTCCAAGTTGGATGTCAGTTTGAAGACTCTTAAAAAAAAATAATAATGATAAAAAAAATGTATCTAGCCAGCAGCTATCGCTGCATCAGCCTAATCTTCCCCGGAACCAGCCAGTGCACCAGGCAGCACTCAGATCCCTCCTCCTGTGCATCTGGAAGAATCCTACAACACAGACAGGCTCCTCTGGCACTTCTCACCACTGCAGAGCAGACCAAGTTCAGAGGCTGCCCTTGCTTAGAACAAATTCCTCGAGAAGATGACTGAAGGGGTAAGACGACCTTACGCTCACTCCATCACCGACTCCCCGTGTACCTGTGCACTCAGTTTCCATTCCACAGCAAAGCTCATACAGCTGGAACAATTAACAGCAGTTACCAACAGAACTGCTTCCTGTCAGGAACCGAGAGCCCAAAGCCAGGCCCCAGTCTGACACTTTTGCTGCCCAGCAGTTACAAGCTTGTGCTGAGCCCCTACAAGCTACTGAAACAGCCCTACGTGAAAAGCCCCGCTGAAATATCCCAGAGAGCTAATAATGACCAAAAAAAAGACACCCCCCAGCAAAAACCCTGCCCCTTTCCCACAACCCCTCACCAACCAAACAACAATCCACCACTTACTGCCGCCTGGGCGTGTGGGATCGAGACCGTGACTTTGTTCGTGACCTGGATCGACTACCGCTTCTGCTGCTTCTGCTTCTCTTGCTTTCTTTTCTCATGCTTGGGGAGGGAAGAGAAGAAAAAACAAAACAAAACAGGGTTACACTTCTGAGATACTCGTTACTTCCATGAAGTAGCTCCAAAGTAGTTCAGTTCAAGAAACTACTTGTACAGAAATCCTCTCTTCACCAGGAAGAGGTTTCGCTCACCCGTTGTAAGGGCTCTTGGAAACTTGCTGCCTCTCTTCTGGCTCTTTTTTAATGGTTTTGGTATTCACAGACACTGGAGTCTTCTCTTCAGTTTTCACTTCTCTTGGGGAAGCTAAGAATGAAATTTAAATTCAAAGTGAGGCATTTTAGTCACAGACTTTGTCATAAACATCCTGTATCCTTTATACATCTCTACCAGTATCTGCACATTGTGTCAGTATGAACTCAACAGCTCCTGTTTCAGCCCAATTTTCTATTTATAGCACGCTGGAGCCAGAGAGTAGTTTGAAGCCAAGTGCCAGCAGGGTGGGGAGAAGAACACCGTGACCTTCAAGCCAAAGCAGAAGCAGCCAGGCTCATGTTGAGATTCAATCCATCAGGGCCCAAGTGGTACAAAATAAAAGCTGTCCTTATGGCCCACAAATACCCAACTTAAATTGTTACCTTTGTCAAAAGAATTAAGACTGAACAGCAAAATTACTGATTTTATTTTTATAATAGTGGTATCAATATAATGAGTAACACAAAACTTATTTAGTTTAGAAGCCAATCTGTCTCTGCAGCAGCTGATAAAGCCCAGAGATGGATTCTTCTTTTCACAGATGGGCTGCTATGGAAGAACACCACATTTTTATCTGGCCTGCTGACACGAGGCAGGGGTGCTGCATTATGACCACATTTTCCTCACTCAATCGGGTTTCAGAGGTTTAATGTAAAAATACAGAAAGGCAGAATTCTGTCAGCAGCTTTCCCTCAGTTCCTCAGCTTCCAAAACCCCACCAGAGATCCTGCTTTCACTCCAACTCTTCTAACTCGGGCTCTCACTCCACAGAAATAAGTTTCAGTGTTTAGTGAGAAATTTACACTTGCCAGTTCAAAGACCTCTGGAAACTCAGATGTCTTGTTCTTCAGGAGAAATAACTGCTACAAATATTGCTTTCTCACAATATGTCCTGAAGTTCCTGAAGAGGCCATATAACAACCGAGGGCCTATGCCTTCTACTTTACCCACCATCGCTGGACCAATGCTCATGGTACCCTTCACATTTGGTTGGTAGTTTACAGATCAGTAGCAGCATTAAGAGGTAAAAAGCAGCAAGACAAAACTAACTGCTCTTTGTACCACTAGAGCTCAGACAGATTGAGTGGCTGGTTCGAGATATGTGTGACAGCAATTTATTCACTGTAATGCCAACAGCACTGCGACCTCCCCTTCTCCATTTCCTGACCACAAGCTGTCTCACTTCACTGCACTTCAACAGTTGGCAAAGACATTAACAAACAGCAGAGTGATTTTCAGAGATACCTGCTGTAAAAGGAACTACCAAGGCTACTGCAACACCCCCCCAAGAGATTAAATCCAGAGTCTCTCTTCACAACACAGTAACACACAGCCCCCTCCTGGGTCATGACATTTTGTCACACAATTATCTGAAGGGTGTGTATTATTAACACATCACTCTCCCATCAGTGGAAGTGTGGAATAAAGCATCCCTTTTCCCTCTCATCTGTGATTTCAAGGTATTGCAATTGGTTTTGTTTTAAAAGAAAGATTTGTCTTGCTTCTTAGTTCTGTGAGAAAGCTTAAACTGACAGCTCGAGACACCTCGGGACACAGATTTAGAAGACTTATTGAATTGTATTATCCAAGTTTCTGTTCAGAAAACAAACTTACATGGTTTGGACGCAGGAGAAAAGCCACCCAGTGTTGAGAGCGCTGGAGTTCCATCCGGATTTAAACCTTTGGCCTTCAGTTTAGCTTCCTGTAGTGCCATTTTCCTCTTTTCTACTTCTTTATCCAGGAATTCATAATTGGGCTGTTAAAGTAACAACATGGTAAGAAGCTGAACTAACACAATTCGTATTTTCATCTCATTTCTGAAAAATTCTCTATTATCTTTCAATCATCTGTCCAGTAATGTGACTAACTTCCTTAACGTGTTCTCACACTCCCCTCCCAAGAGCAGCCACACAGCAGAGCCTTTCCAATTAGCACATTTGCATGCAGGTGTTCTCAAACACACTCAAACCAGCACGAGACAGCTCAAGCTGCACTGAATACTGAACAGGAAAACCAAACATCTCAAAGTTACCTTCTTCCTGGTATAAAGCTTAAGAGTTGTTAAGCATATCTCCTGAATCTCCTCTTCCGTGGTGCCAAAGAGCAAGAACCAGTGAGGACGGGTAGGTAGTGGAATCTGAAAAGAAAACAACCAAAAGCTTCACCAGAGAAATTACACACCAGGCTTTTGTTTCAAATATTTTCTTGAAACCAAATTACTAGCAATAAAAGGCAAACTAAAGACAAAGACTCACCTGCAGAGCTCTAGCAGCGAGATAAATGCAAGCACACGCTATAGTCTCTGGCTGAAAGCGAACAAACACATTTGTTCGAAGGCTGTCATTCATGTAATTCCTAAAAAAAATCAATTAAAAAATTATTAAAGGTTGGATCTCTGCTTTACATCTTTTTATTTAGAGGATAACAAATACTGGAGACTCAATTGACTTTATTATTTTTTCTGTTATTCTATTAAACACTTGGTGTATTTCGAATTATTGTGTTTGAGGTTTACATTTGTTATGTTTTTGTAACAAAAGATTGCACCGTTGCCATCGTTTGTCTGGAAACCCCAATGCAAGTAGCAGTATGGAATGGCCACGTCCTAGGCAGGCACGTTAAGTTACACCGTGAAGTGTCCCCTGAGTTAACAATCACACAAGTACTTATCATCTGTCCAGTTGTTTTGCTTTAAACACCAATGTTCTTGTAATTAAAAATCAATATGTTTAAAAACTCAAATGCAAGCATTAAAGCACGGTATGTTTTTAACCTACCATTTTCCAGAGGCTAGATGCAACCTATAAAGTTCATAAAACATGGCATTTAAATCCTACGTGTGCCTTGAGTCACATTAACTTCATCCAGAGAGAGAGAGAAGCATCCAATTTGCTCACTGAGTGTTGGAAAAAGACCTGTGAGTTAGTAATGGGTCTCCCACTTCACTAAGCTCCTGTTCTCCCACCGAGGTGGCACTGCCCAGCAACACATGCCAAAAAATAAATACATTTAAACAGCAGAGACCTCCAGCCATTGCTACAGTTACTGAGCTACAGGGAAGAAACCAACAGCAGTCAGTAAGGATTGACTCTACAGAAACCCATGCCCAATATGGCTGCTAAGTGAACATGCTGCATGCACTGTCATTTGCTTTGGTTTTTGTTTAAAAAACCCCTTTAAGTTTAGCCAAATGCTAAATCAACAAAATAAATAAATGTTGGCAGAAAGTCTACCCCACGTGTCCTTTAAATACACTACAGTACACAGTAGCTAGGCAACAAAGAAGACATTCAGAAACATTTTTTTTAACAGTTACTTCTAAAAGCAAATATACAAATCCTTTTTGACACCCAGACAGAACTAGAAGATGCTGCCCGATGGATATGGAGCACTTCAGTGAATCTCGGATGAGAGCTTGCACTGGGTTGGCTGGAGAGAAGGGCAGCCAAACAGGCCATCCCCAGGTCATGGGCTGAGGTGCAGAGGGCAGAGCTCTATGACTTACCATCATGGACTACCCTTTAATTAAAGAGTAGAAAAAAGAACAAAGTTAAATTGAGTTCTCCATTACTAGGTTGGAATCAAGCCATGAAAATAGTAAGCAGAAACAAGCACTAAAAATATTTTTAAAGTATTATTATTTATGTAATAACTTACATCTCATTGCTTTGCATATGGATCGTCAGGCTTGTTATTTCTGCTACTATTTTCCTGGCTAGGAAAAGAATGGAAAAATAACAACTTACCAGGCTGTCTGAACCAGGGTTTGATTACGTTCACATTCTAAGACTTGTAAATACATAACAATGATCTGAGGAATAAGAGAGGGGAAAAAAAGAGTCTCAGTTTTAACATACAAAGCAAGAGTAAGGAAGTAACTACATCTGGCCAAACTATTCCAAAACAATGGTCCCCCCTCCCTTTCTAAGCACACACCATAAAATCATGTGCAGACAATTCTTTATTTACTGTTTTTCTATGATTTTCAAACCATCCACCTTTAACATTTCCCAAGGAAGCAACTTCTACCCAAGTCAACATGACTATTTGCCCAAGCACTCTGGCAAAAGCATTCATCAGAAGTACTAAGGAATAAAGAAAAGAAATCAGGTCATTTTTACACCTGCATTTCTCGTCCCACAGCTCACAATGATGTCATCAAGGTAGAATAATAGCTACAATTATATTATTTTTGATAACTCACCTTATGTGGATGCTTGACATGAACACAAAATCCCAACTCCTTCAGTACCCTCCTTTCTGCTTTGATTACTTGGTTTTTGGTGTTTATGTAGTTCTGATCAAGTATCAGGGGGCTTGGAGTCCTATAGTTTGCAAGAAATAAAATCAAAACTGTTTTGCATATCCAAAACCAGCGGCAACTCTGTTTTCCCTTCCAACCAACTAATGGCAACAGAAACCGGTTTGCAACTCCTGCAAGCAAGTTTAAGCATTAATCTTGTGCTGTCCAAGTTTAGATGAAACTAGTTTAGTTTCTGGTTTTGACTAGCTATAGATTAGATGGCTAAGATAAAAAAATAAATAAATAAAAATCTTCTGCTACTGTGTATGCAAACTACACTGGTCCAGCTGCTGGAACTAAAGCCACCTTCACAGGGAAGATCTCAGAGAATCTTTACACTTCACAACAGATGTGGGGGAAGGAGTGGGATACAACTGCCTCTGCTGGGTAGGGCTTCCAAGCAGATGTAAGCTACAAGAGGTTTTTTTACTGATATTAAAGTAGCAAGCTGGTGCTTTCTGAGTTGCAGTTTCCCATACATTGGAAGATGAGATTATTCAGATGTTCAGAGAACAAGACAGCCCTGCTACTGTGATATATGAAAAGCCCAGTAAAGCAAGGGATGTAACCTGTGAAATGGTGACACATCTGCCTGTGGCTCTAACACTGCACCCACTCCTCAGTGGGCACCACGTCACTTCTGCTATTTGCATGTGCAAAACAAGAGCTCATTTCACACAGAAAGATTCCCAGGTCTAGCACTAGGCAAGTCCTAATTCCTTCCAAATCCAACACCTGAACTCTCCAAAGCATTTTCATTTTAACTCAAATTACTTGCTGCATGCTTCAGGCACAAGGGTCACACTCCATTTTTCATGCTTTTCTTTGTCTGTGCTTAACTTGACCTTTCAACATTCCACATTGTGTCTTTTCATCCACTTCCTCCTCAAGACAGACCAGCTTTTTCCCCACCTCACATACTCCTCATGCTTTCCAAACACAGCATGGTTTTGCAACTAGTTACTCTCTAATAAATCACAGTCTGTTTACATGATCAACCTGGTACACCTCAAGCACTGGTGATAAATTTGACATTACCTTCAAAAAGAAAAACAAACAAACAAAAAAAGTAATTCAAAGTGGATTCAAAACACAGCTTCTGTTTTATCAGAGAAAATAGTTCACTACTAACTCGTCATTTTTGATTCCATGCCAGTTCCATAAGTGGATTACACTTTAGGTCACAGAGTAGAAAATTACTCAAAAAAAATAGGTTTCCACCCCAGAAACAAAGGCTCAATTTAATTACAAGGCTAGCTGACCCAACTTCAGTAATCCACAATTTATGGTAAGACTTCTGCAGTCACCTGGTAGGATGCTAATTACCATTGCTCAAAGGATACAACAAGCCACCCAAGTCACTAGTAAAAGCATCATGGTGTGTAACCATGCACTGAAGCTCTCCCTCCTCTTTCCAAGGGGCTGAGGAACAGCTCCTGGGAGGTTTGAGAGGCTCTACTGCACCTTCCTGGTGCCAGCAATGACCTACAACTCAAGTACAGGCCTTACTACTTCTGTCTCCTAAAAATAAAGAGCAATGTTTTCCATGTTACAGAGAGATTAACTTCTCCAGTTGAGTGTTAACACATCAGGGCAGGTTTACAAAGTTTGTGGTTTCAGCTGCTCTAAATACCATCCAGTCAGAATATGGGTTGGTTTTTGGTTTTTCTCCATAAATTAACTAGAAAAGAAACATTTTTAAATCTTCTATAAGGTAACTACTTCAGTAGAGAGGCTCTGGTTTTATCTGAACACTCAAACACCACAAAGGCTGGCTGAACACAATGCTCTGGAGCAGGAGACTGGCAGAACCAAGCTAAAGTTCTTCCAGTCAAACTGATTCACTTCCCACTGGTTTCAACTAACTATACTGGGGTTTATAACAACACTTCTTCCAGTATTGCTTTACACAGCGTTATCTAGAGATCACTGGCACTAGCAGGATCTGCAAGGCATCATTCAGAGCGAGTTTAGGTGTCCGGGCTCAGTTTATCTTGTTAGGAGAACACTTCATCAGAGGTGACAAATCTTGGATGAAGCTGTTGGGGCAGCTATGAATTCCAGTCTATAAGAAAAAGAAATCAACAGCGGGACAACATGACTGCATGGGACCATCCAACAACCTGCTGAGGGATAACTATCCTCCACGTGCCTTAGTTCTCTGAAAGCCATGCAAGAAAGCCAGGATTATGGAACTCAGTAAGGCAGTTACAGTACAACAGGAAAGACTGTGAGCCTCACTGCACTTCACATTTCCACTCTGCTCCTACAGGCCCACAGGATCAGCACAAGCAGTTCAGACTTTGGGTGCTCGTGTTCAACAGCAAAGCAACAGGAAACTCAAAATTAAGGCACTCTCAAGTGTGCTTCCTCTGCTGTCCTGTGTCACTGCAGCCACTGAGGACACACAAGTTCTAGAGATCTACGGATCTAATGAAAAACACTGGTTTACCCAGACAGAATTTCCAGAAACAGAAAGACAACTGCAGCCTTTTATCCACTTACACAAAAATAAAAATCTGCAGAAGACTTTGCTACAGCTTATGACTGGCAAAAGTCAGGTTCCCCACTGGATTAAGGTTTACTTTTGCCATAAACTCTAAAGTGTTGGTGCACATAATAATTTACAAGTTGGAAACTTCAGAGATTTCCCTCTGAAAAACTTCTTGGCTTTCCTATTAAGAAAAAAGAGAGGAACTTTGCTACTGCATTTGCTGCACCTAGTTCTCAGTCCAAGAAGTAATCATTATAGGTCCAAGTAACAAAACCAGAGAAAAATAATTTATAAGCTTCTATCTAAAATATAAACTTCAAGCCCTGTATAGCCAAATAGTATCACAAATTCTTACTCTGAATCTTGTTCTTACAGATCAGCACTAGAGCTCCAGGCAAGACTTGAGATTTAAGAGCAGAGAGCACACAGTGCCCATTCTGGTAAATCAATCCAACACTTAGTCCCAAAACTTCATCAGGATTTAGAGACTGCAAAACAGCCCAAAAGATTAACACATGCTGTCATGTGCTTGTAACAATAAAAAAAATTACAAATATATTTTTTAAAAATCCCTCTGACAAGTGAAACCTCAGTTCTCCACACAGCTACAGCTTCATTTGATGTCATATTAAAATTTGATGTCTTTGGAACATCTAATACTTTGGAAGAAAATTGTCCTGCATGTATTTGTGTTCATAATGCAAAAAAATACTCCTGACAAGTAGAACGTAACATCCACATCTCATTTCCAAGACCACATCTCTCTCAGGCCAGGCAATAGACAGAAGAAAGCGAGTTCTACATTTGTCCCCAGCATTGTAAATACAAGCACTGTAGATTTATAGAACAGTTTGAAGAACACTAAGTAGAGTGTGTGATCAATACAGACCACTTCCAACACAACTGCACGAACCTGTGTGCTGCAACAGAGGTAAAGAACAGCTGACCAAGCATCTCAAACCCACATTTGTGAGGTTACATCATGACAGGAGTCACATTTGGTCCCAAGTCTCAGCAGGACTTTCTGCAGCTTTCAGGCACATTTAAGATAAATTAAAAAAAATCAACTTCAAACTACATTCTACATGTTAAACAACAGTTGCACTTCGCTCAGAACACAGATGTTTTGGCACACAGTTTTTTTTTAAAAGCAGTATTTTCATCATACGAGCTTTTCTCCATGCACAAACATTTTTACATGCAGTACCACATGACATATGCTCGTCAAAGATCCAAAAGGAAATATGCTTGTCCAAAACACTTTTTTTTTTTTAAGCTTTTTCTTACTTCTCAGTATTAGAAACACCCCCTAGCAGTAACTCAGTTGACTACAGGTCTTACAAAGAGAAAATTCCAATGCAATTCCCAGTTCTGCAAACAGGTACATATAAGGGACTGCTTACATAATAATGTATATAAATTGCTTTACAAATTCCAGACTTCTGTACCCTTGTGAAGGCATGTTTTACTATCAATTCAAACTGCAGTTATACAGAGCTAGAAAAGTGGAACTAAGAACCCAAAAAATGTTTTAAGAAAGAAAGCAAGCCTACTCAAAACTACTCAAAACTTCATGTGCAGGTTAAGAGCTTCAGTTAACAGAAATACTAGAGTAGAGGTGAAAAGAAAGTACAGCAGCCTGATTGTTTCAGTTCTGGGTTGTGTGTGAGAAACTAACTACGGCCTAAGTGTTAGCTTCAGATTAAAAATAAAAATAATAATAATAAAAAAAAGATTAAGCTAGTATTCTAAAAACCTGGACAGCAAAGAAAAAAGCTTATAACAAGATACAGGAGTTCTTCCAAATGGTTCACCAGCGGCCAACCTGTTTGTCCCCCGATTCCAGTGACCTATTCTCAGAGCACTGGCTTCTCCATGGGGATTTTCGATACTTCACTCACTGTTGCCATGACGACAGCTTCATCTTTATGTACCACTCCACATCACCCAGGCTTTGGTAAATGTAGCTGGTCGCTGTATAGTCGGTTGCAAGGGAAAAAAGAGTTGAAGTTAATAACGTGTACAGGGTATGTAATGGTAATCTTGTAAAAAGTACAGAAAAACGTTTACATCCTGCTTGTTAAAAAAAAGAAGGCAAGTCTGAATTGTCAGACTTGAGCATTTTTAAGATTAATTTCATGCAGAGTCACTCAGAACCTCAGAGCAACAAAACCCATTTCTGCAGAAAATAATGGGTAGAAGTGCACGATTTCTCTTGACATGATGCATTTTAGACACCATGTAACATGCACAAGTGACATTCTGATTTAGCTGGGAAGATTGCAGTTCACAGGTTAAGTCCAGTTTCTCTGATCCTTTGCACAGCACGAAGAAACAACTAATTTGTATTCTCGTCGTAAAGAAAAGCATTGCATATGATTAACTAACCTTCACTGCCTGGATCAAAGCCAAAACATGACACATCACTGAACCAGCTTCAATAATTCCAATAACCAGACTCCCTCATCACAACCCTGGTAAGAAACAATACCACCAAATTCACGTTCAGCTCAGCTTCACAAAACTCTCTCAGGGCCAGCAGGGATAATAACTTTAAAAAAGGAACAAAGCCAAGTTCCAAAGTGTAACTAACACCCATCCTTCTTCTTTTATCTAAAACTAACTAGGAAAACACGAGCACGAGGCAGTAAAAGTGGAAGTTTTCAATTCAGCAGAAGCATAACCAGGATAAAGACACCAAGAAACAGCCGATTTCCCTCAGGGACTTCTACTCTACTCCTCAGAAAAGGTTACACAACACTAAAGTTTAACTTCCTGCTGTAACCTGGTGATACAGAGCAGAGAAATAAAAGTGTGAATTTAAAAGTCTAACTGAAAACAAAACCCTCTTGTTAACTATGGATTACCCTACACTTTAAGCAGTTTGCCACTAGAAGTAAAACTACTTCATCACAGCTGCCATCTCCAATCTCACAGACTATGCTACTGCTGGATGACAGATTTAAAGGCATTTTGCATCTAAGAGCAACTTAGAAAACTCCTTCCCTTCAACCATTCCTTGTTCCTTCCAGGACGTCACGTTAATTTGCTTTACACATGAAAACACACATCACTTTACACACAGAAGAGCAGAATTAGGCACTCACAGCTGAGAGCAGCTCTACAACTCGAGCAGACAGTTAGCTGTATCTGCACACAGAGCAGGAACTGACACTCCCACCTCAACTCCACCAACACAAGCACACTGTACTGTGAAAAACACACCTCACTTCTTGCAATTAAAGATGCCTTCAGCTTCCAAGACTCAATTACACGTTCCCTGCTGAAATGGTATCGTTAAAGCTGCAAACACTGGAGGCCAAACTGTAGGGTTTTTCAGATACTGTCTAAAATTGTTTTTTCTAAAGTCATACTATCATCACTGCAAAAACATCAGCTTTCATTTTTTGCTAACTGGTACTTTATTAGCACCATAACCACATTGGGGCAGCTACATACTAACAAGAGAAAAGCATTAAGACTACTGCACATGGCTACAAGTCTGGAAAATAGACTGCACTCCACTAATTAGCTACTCATACCTAAGACTACTTTTCAACAACTACAAGACAGCAAAAAATCAATTAGCAATAGACCTAAAACTCCAACCAACCGTGGACCTAAAACTGGAACCAATACTCACGACTCGTAGCTATATAAATAAGGGCAATGGGTCTACCAAGTCAACCACAGTAACGGCAGAAGAGCAGCACTGAACTGTACTGCCTACGTAGCAGCTCCTGAGCACTCCCTTCTCAATTTTAGGTCGTGGAGCTTAGCCTGGAGAAATACTGTGAATTGAGAACTGCAGCGGACATTAGTGACAAGAGATGCTTCTGTTTTTAACGAAGGTAATCTTACCTTTTTGCTCTTAACTGACGTAAGTGATGAAACACGTTGATCACATCCCTTATACGACGAGGTGCCTCTTCGATTTTGGATGCGAGATTGATACAGGCCATAGCAACAATCTGAAAGGAAGGACCACCTCCGTAAGAAAGTGATTTTTCATTCCATTAAGACTAAAAAAAAAAACCCACCCGTGGCCTAAATGCTGCAAGAGAGCAGCCCATTTGGTGTGAAGGAGGACTACAAGAAAGCTGGGGAGGGACTTGGGACAAGGGCAGGGA